TCAGCCTCCCAAGTAGCTGGGATTACAATGCCCGCCACCGTGCCTGGCTACTTTTTGTATTTTTAGTAGAGACGGGGTTTCACCATGTTGGCCAGGCTGGTCTCCAATTCCTGGCATCAAAGTGACCCGCCCATCTCAGCCTCCCAAAATGCTGGGATTACAGGCGTGAGCCACTGCACCAGGCCAAAAAGTACATTTTAAAAGTACCTCACACCACTGGGAGCAATTTAAAAAGATAAATAGGAATTTATTCAGAGATAGCGAAACACACAGACTAAAAAGGAAAGCAGTGGAACCAACGCAAGGCACAAGTCATATGCACTAAAATTTCCAGCTGCCCCGTAGGGGAACGTGGTTTGGCGGATTGCGTCACCTTTAGTTGGGGCATAATGATTGAATTCTTGCGGTACAAATGGACACTGATCGAAGTTTACCTAAGTTTTTAATTCTGTGGCCAACTTTGTGTTTGTCTTGGCTCAGTTTTCTCTTAAGTAGAAATAAGTAGAAAAGAAGCAAAAAGAAGCTTCTATTGTGGCAGTGTAAATTTACTTATATGTAAGCAATAATTTGATTCTTTCCTAGAAGTCAACCAAAGTGCTATAACATCCCTTCTCATCTTTAGCTTAGTAATAGAGCCCTACGGTGTTACCAAGAATAATACAGTTTGTAAAAATGTGCATTAATTCCTTCTCTTTGTTTTAAGTGAAGATTTTCTTTTATCGTTCTTATTTCAAAACATTTAAATTTGATTCTTGTTTCTTCCCTTGCCTTCTAATTATTTTCCTATAGTTTCTTGTTTTCTTCATTTTTCCACTTTATGGAGTGGAAACTCCACTCCACTTTTTGGAATCCCATGATTTTAACTTCAAAAATTAAAATATTGTTGAATAAACCAGAGCATCTTGAAGAGGGCAATGAAATTCAACACCTGCATATAAATCAATAATCCAACACTTCTTAAATTCTTAAATTTTAGAAAAGATGTGCCTTGTATTAGCTTTTCTTGGTTTTATCTGCCTTTTCCTACTCTTGTTTATTTCCTATTTCCATATCTTATATTTTCAGCCTTCCTCCTTTATTTATTTGACCATGTTAGTAAGAAGAGAACTCAAATCCTTTTTTGGATAAAATAACTGAAGTGTAAGAAGAAATCATTAATCAGGATGCATTTAAGCCAGATGTAGAGGTGTAGTTCACAATTTACTACAGCTTTGTCATTAGGTTATAATTTTACATTCTAAATAAGTTTCTCTTATTTACAAGAGAATAACTTGTATTGAATAATTGGATTAGAACACAATCTGAATGTTATTTTGTAGAATTAATGAATATTTTTCTTATAAAATAGCAATAAAAAGTTTTTGTAATAAAATTTTAAATATCTTTTTGTGTTCTCTCTAGTTTGTTAAATACAAGTAAGGAATACAGGCAACATGTTCTACACACATGTGCTTATGAGTAAACGAGGGCCATTGGCCAAAATATGGCTTGCAGCTCACTGGGAGAAGAAACTCACAAAGGCCCATGTATTTGAATGTAATCTAGAGATAACCATTGAAAAAATTCTTTCACCCAAGGTATGTTACTGATTAAAATGATAGCTTGTATTTACCATGACTTTGGAGGAAGAAAGGCATTAAGATACACTTATATCATGAAATACATTTTGAAGGAAGTTTTACTTGTCAAATGGTCTTTCCTTTAATTCCTGTAGCATTTAATGTTATAACAAACATATTGGTTTCTGTTGGTAATTAACTTTTTCATATATCTATCATAGATAGATTGGACCCTAAGGGATGAAGGCCATATTTTATTTATATTCATATTCCTTTCTTACTCACTAACAAAATACAGTAGACATAGTAGGTACTTAATAAGCATCTCGTAGAAAATAATGAACAAATGGGGAGGGTAGAAAGAAAGAGGACTGGTTATAAATCCAAAAATATGTGAAAATATGTCATAAACAGTAAAGTACTATGTTCATTATAAAACACTAAAACAGTGATTAGAATTTGCATTACAGTATTTAATATTGTTATAAGTTAAGTATTTTTCAGTTTTAGAGAAGGACAAATTGAAAGTCTATGGTGTGTTAGGCACTGGGCTGGACTTTATGCCTATAAATCTATTTAATCTTTACAACAACCCTATGAAGTTGGCTTCTTTTAGCTTCTGTGAACTGTGGTTAGCATGTCTTGAGTTGGTCAAATTTATATTTAATTATTGCTTTATCTGTCACTTAATAATTATATTACTTTGGGCATCCTACTTAAAATATCTGAGTCTCAGTTTTTTCTTCTGTAAATAGAGGTTGTTGTCAAAATTAAATAAGCTAATGTATGAAAAGCTCTTAGGACAATGCCTGGCATAAAATAAGTATGTAATAAATTGTAGGGAGGCTGAGGCAGGATAATTGCTTGAACCCAGGAGGCAGAGGTTGCAGTGAGCCAAGATCGCGCCACTGCACTGCAGCCTGGGTAACAGAGCGAGACTCCACCTCCAAAATAATAATAATAATAATAAAAAATTGTAGCCATTTTTATTAAACTGAAGTTCAGGAAGGTTAAGTGACAGCCTCAGCAACTGAACAAAGACCTGAACCCAATTCTGACTATAGAGTTTATATTCCTCTCATAATACCAATAATAGTATACTTCACTTAAATACCATATTAGATTAATTCCCTTAAATAAGAATAAAAAAATTATTTTGCAAGGTGAGGTAAAAAGTGATTTACTTCAAATAAGAATACAAAATATCTGCTTTTTTAAGAGAACCAAATCTTACGATGTAAGTAACTTTCAAAGAATAGGATTTATGAACCTAATTTTTACTCTTCTAATACTTCAAAAATTATTGAAAGGTGAAAATAGCACTTCGAACTTCAGGACACCTTCTTTTGGGAGTTGTTCGAATCTATAACAGGAAGGCAAAATATCTTTTGGCAGATTGCAGTGAAGCATTTCTTAAAATGAAGATGACATTTCGCCCAGGTATACATGTAATATTGATTTGTCTCACTCTTCTTGGTTCCCTTTTGCATTTTAATTGGGGGTGGGCTCTTTTAATATACTTCAGGGGAGTATGGTGAATGTAAACTTAGTTTTGAATGAATCTAAGTTTCCATGGTTGAGGATAAATTGTATTCATTTCCTTGCTCTTTTTGTATGCCTGCAGGAAAAGGTTATGCTTTCCAAAACTTGTAATGTTCCTGCATATTTATGTAAGACATATACTTAAAGCCACTACACTTGCATAAGAAACTCTGATATTCTGTTTTTAATGGGTCAGTTAGTTTGTCATGCCTGTTTGACAAACTATGATTGACAAAACAGAGATATCAGTAATTGTAATTGTTTTCAGAATTCTCGACTCCAAGCAGCATGCTACTTATGACGTATCAAAAATTCCTAAGCATTCCAAAGTGCCAGAGATTTACATATGTCATAAATATAATGCCTTCAAAATTTATATAGCATCTGTTTCACTTTGAAGACATTTTTTATTTTCCACCTTGTATTATGGCTATTTAGGTATGGATCTTGCTTCTGTCACTAGTCTTCAAGCTTCTTAAAGGCAAGGTCTTTGTTGTAACTATTTTCTGAATCTCTTATAGTATCTGTCTCAGTGCCTTGCCCATACCATTCCCTCAATCAACATTTGTTGAATCAGGATTGACAGATTTTTTTTAATCTTCTTCATTTAAAATATTCGTATAATCTCTAGGTGGATTTCTATTCATATCAAGTATAGGTTCATTTGTTCATTTTTGTTTTTACATATTCCACAAATATTTATTGATTTCATACTTTGTACCAACCACTATGGTAGGCTCTGGGATACAAAGACAAACAAACAAGATAAGTAAGATCCTTTTCAGTCAGGTGAGGAAATAAAATAATTAAAGTATTTTAAAAACTTATTATACTAATTGTCAATTGTAATTGTGCTATAAAGGAAAATAAACAGAGTGCTACAACAGAAAATAACAGAGAAGTTCGCTTTAGTTAAAATAATTGGGAAAAGCCTTTCTGAGAGGATAGAATTCAAGCTCAGACTTAAAAAATGAGAACTACCCAGCCAAGTAAAAAGTCGCTGAGGGAATAGCATTCTAGGCAGAGGAAACTGCAAGAGCAAAGGTCTTGAGGTGGAAAAATGCTTGACTTTTTCAGGGAACAAAAAGGCTAGTATGGTCAGTATGGTGAATGTCATTAGATGATCCGTGATAGGTTTGTAGAGCTACAGAGGCTCCAATTCGAAATTTTGATTTTATTAAATGCACTGGAGAAGTCACTAAGTCATTATAAGTTTTAGAGACATCTAATCTGATTAGTTTTTTGAAATATTACTCTGTCTGCTTTATAAATAATGGACTACAGAAGGGTAGGAGTAGATGGAGGAAAACTAGTTAGAATATGCAGTAGTCCAGTAAAAGAATATGGAGTTAGTTGGGAGTTCTTTCTTTTATATAGCATTGCTGCTTATTGAGTGTGATTTTTTATTCTTTTCAGGACTGGTTGACCTTCCAAAAGAGAATTTTGAAGCATCTTACAATGCTATCACATTGCCAGAAGAATTTCATGATTTTGACACCCAAAATATGAAGTAAAATATTTTATTTATTTTCTTTCGATTTTCGGTTTAATTTTCTTGATATTTTGTTTTTATATTCAAATTTCATTGAGGCAAATGGAATGTAGTTAACAACTGAACAAGTACAGATGTGATTGATGAAGACTTATATTTGGTATAAAATCCCAAAGTACAACAAAAGTGTGTCATTATATTGAATATAGTTTGCAATATTGACAGTATATTCATCTATTCATTCAGTAAATATTCACTGGGTGCCTTCCATATGCTGGAAACTGTTCTAAGCACTGAGGAGATAGCAGTGAATTAAACATAGCTGCTGGCCTCATGGATCTTAAATTTTAGTTGGGGTGGATAATAAACAAACAAATAAATGTATGCCAGGAGATGATCACCATTGTGAAGAGAAATAGAAAATGAAATAAACAAACAGTAAGACAGGAAAGACTTTTCTGAAAAGGTAAGAACAGAAATCTGAAGGAGGTAAAGGAACAAATCAGTAATGTGGGGGAAGAATATTCTAGGAAGAGCAAGTAGAAAGGCCCTAAAGCAGAACACACTGGACATTTTCAAGGACCAGCAAGGAGGCAAGTGAGACTCTAGTGGAGTAAATGAGGGGCTGAGTGGTAGGAGATGAAGTCAGAGAGGTAGCAGGAGACACAGATTATGTAGGGTGTGATACACTACAGTGGGACTTTTATTTTACTCAGGGAGCACGGGAAGGTTTTGAATAGACGAGTGATGGGATCTGACTTGATTTCAACATCATCTCTCTGGCTACTTACTCTAAGAGGAAAGGGAGGAATCAAAGAGCCCATGAGAAAGTTATTGTAGTAAGAAGTCCAGATAAGAGAATATAGTGTCTATGATCAGTTCTCAGTTTTCATCTCACTCAGGTGGTAGCAGTCAACTTACAGATATATCTGGAAGGCAAAGCCAGGAGAATTTGCTGATGAATTGCATATGGCTTTAAGAGAAAATGAAGGATGCTATATGATGTTTGGCATGAGAACAGAGTTAACACTTAATAAGATTAGGATAATCAGATTTAAAGGGGGAAGAGAGAAGGAAGTAAACTAGGTTTTGTGTATAAGTTTTGGGATGACTGTTACACATCTGTTGTGGTCTAAATGCGTATGTTCCTCTGAAATTCATATATTGAAACCTAACCTTCAAGGTGATGGTATTAAGAGGTGGGGCTCTGAAACCACAATGACCTTTTAGGACAACAACAACCAAAGAATTGGAAGTGATTAGGTCATCAGAGAGGTGATTAATTCATAAGAGAAGTGATTAGATCATAAGGGTTCCACCATCATAAGTGAGATTAGTTCCCTTATAAAAGAGACCTGCAGGAGTTTTCTTGTCCCTTCCACTGTGTGAGGTCACAGCAAAAAGACACTGTCTATGAGGAACAGGCCCTCACCAGACACCAAATCTGCTGGCACCTTGATCTTGGACTTCCCATCCTCCAGGACTGTGAGCAATAAATTTCTGTTGTTTATAAGTTACCCAGTCTAAGTTATTTTATTATAGTGGCCTGAATGGACTAAGACAATATCGAAGGGAGTAGGTAAGTAGTTGACTCTCTGGGTCTGAAATTCAGGAGAGAGGTCTGATGTGGATGTATAAATTTGCAAGTTGTGAGTGTATAGATGGAACTTCAACCATGGACTCTAAGAGATCCCCAAGGTAGTGAGTATACCTTTAAAAAAAAGAGAGAGAGGGATCTGAGGACTGAGTATTTGGTCATTCCCAGTAGTTAGTCTGGGATATTAGGAACAGAAAAGGAGCAGGTAGGAAGAAAATTGAGAAATAGTGATATCTCAGAGGCCAAGAGAAGAATGTATTCCATGAGGAAGGGAGTTGTCTTAGTCTCTTTGGGCTGCTATAACAAAATACCATAAACTGGGTGTCTTATTTACAATAGAAATTTAGTTATCATCATTCTGGAGGCTGAGAAATCCCAGATAAACTTGCCGGCAGATTCATCGTCTGGTGATGGCCTACTTCCTGATTCATAGATGGCAACCTTCTCACCGTATTCTCACATGGTAGAAAGATTGAGGCAGCTTTCTGGGGCCTCTTTTATAAAGGCACTAGTCTTATTCGTAGGAATCTGCCCTCATGACCTAATTACCTGCCAAAGCTCCCACCTCCTAATATCATTGCTTTGGAGATTAGATTTCAATATATGCATTTGAGGTGAGGAAGACACAAACATTTAGACCATAGCAAAAGTCAACATCTAAGTCAAATGCTGTTTGTGCAAGTAAGATAAGGGACTGAAAATTGACCATTGGATTTGGGAGCCTAGAGATTATTTATATACATGTATATATAATAAACTAGTGTTCATGAATAATACTATTAAGAAAATGAAAATTGTTCTAGTTTCTTCACTATATCAATGATATTTTTACAGTATCATTGTTTTCTGTTCTCACGTTTTTCTCAACCTTTTATTTCTCCATAGTGCTATTGATGTTTCAGAACACTTTACTCAGAACCAAAGCAGACCAGAAGAAATCACTCTTAGAGAAAATTTTGACAAGGATCTGCTTTTACAAGCTGAGAGCTTTGGTGAGAATATTTGAGAACTCAAAATTACAAATTATAATCAATTATATTTGTATTTGTGTATTGAAACAATGCCAGTAGACGTAGCTATAGAATGAATCTTTTGATGCATAAATGTAATTCCCAATACATCTTTCCTTGCCTTTTCCTAGTATAGATGTCAATGCCAAGACTCAGTCTTAGGATATACTTCTATTCTCAGTGTATAACCATTTACTGAATACCTACTCTGTATCAGGTGCTATCAATAGACAGGGCAGTACCAAAATTTAAAGAAGCAGTTTCTGCCCTCAAGGAGATACTGGGTGTGAGAGAGACATGTAAATAAACAGTTGTGATGGTCAACATACATACAAGATTTTATATGTATGCTGCATGAAATGCCTTCAAAATATATTTCTTCTGGTATATGATAATATCAATTGTAAAATAATGCCTTTTAAATCAGCCTGGGGGTGAGGAAGAGGAAGCGCTAACACACTAAACATATATATTGATTGTGAAACATAAACTGATTTTTAAGATGTTAAACTCTGTTTGGGCAAGGCGATTGTACTTTACTTTTGATTTTTTTTTTTTTTTTGACACAGGGTTTTGTTCTCGTTGGCCAGGTTGGAATGCATGATCATGGCGTACTGCAGCCTTGACCTGGGCTCACTATCTTCCCGCCTCAGCCTCCTGAGTAGCTGGGACTGCAAGTGCATACCACCACACTCAGCTAATTTTTTAAAACTTTTTTGTAAAGACAGGGTCTTCCTATGTTGCCCAGGCTGGTCTTGAACTTCTAGGCTCAAGCAATCCTCCTGCCTCAGCCTCCCAAAGTGTTGGGTTTACAGGCATGAGCCACTGTGCCTGGCTAGTGTATTTTAAAATGGAAGCAACATGGTGTAATTTAACTATAGAGTATTTGCTCTTTTTTTCTGGCATCTACTACTCCCTGTCTTATGATATTTATACACGTCTTGTCTTGGTCTACAAACTCCATGAGGATAGAATCTGTGTAATGTTCACATTTGAATTTCCTATAGTGCCCAAAACAATGAGCATAGAAAGATAGCCTGTGTCTATCTTGGTCGGGGAGAGGAGTCAAGAAAGTAATGCTTGAGCAACATCTCCAACCTCAGCTTCTCATCCTCACTCTGCTTCCATAACTCTTCCTATATCTGCAGCTGTGTTTCTCAGCCTGTGGTGAAGGACCAGTTTTCTAATTTTTGTCAATTTTCAATCTGTTTTATATTTTACTTTGTAAAATACAGTAAAATGAATTATTAGAAAAATTAAAAAATTAAAAATCAAAATACAAGCCTCAAGTTTTGTTATTAGAGTCAATATATATAAAATTGCTCTGTCAAATTTCTGTAAAACTTTCTGAACATGTACTTTTATTTCTGTATTTTATTTCTTGTGGACCAATACCTGTCCCCAGATTATACTTTAAGTAGCACTGATCTCTTACTGGGTATAATCCCAGACCCAGAATTGGAACACACTGGCAAAGAAGTAATCATATTCCCTACTCCCAAGACACTCTTTACAAATTCCCCTACTATTCTTATTTGGGCCTGAAACTTTAGGATGACTTTTTTTTTTTTTTTTTTTTTTTAATGGAGTCTCACTCTGTCACCCAGGCTGGAGTGCAGTGGCACCATCTTGGCTCACTGCAACCTCCACCTCCCAGGCTCAAGCGATTCTCCTGCCTCAGCCTCTGGAGTAGCTGGGACTACAGGCATGCACCACCACACTCGGCTAATTTTTGTATTTTTAGTAGAGACAGTGTTTTACCATGTTGGTCAGGCTGGTTTTGAACTCCTGGCCTTAGGTGATCCACCCTCCTCGGCCTCCCAAAGTGCTGGGATTGCAGGCATGACCCACCATGCCCAGCCAGGATCACTTTTAACTATGCTTTTTGTCAGCTTCATACTAGTGCTGAGTTGTTTGTTTGTTCGTTATTTCTGAAATATCTCAGATCTTTTTTCTATTTCCTTAGCCACTGATATAGTTCATCAGTACCAAAGACCTGGAGTATTGCAATACCTTCTACAAATCTTCCTCCAGTCTCTTCCCACATTTTTTATGCCTTTGTAAGAGCAATTGTCTTTAAATTCCATTTTCGATATATCACATTCCTCTGCTTAAGTGCCTTGGGTCCCTGTGACTTACTGTATGATATACCTCTATCTATACTCAAGGCCTCTGCCAATTTATCACCTTCTTTATTTCATCAGCTTTATTTGTTTTCCTGTTAATGTGGACTTTTTGCTCTAGTCTAGCAAGTCTAGTGTCTTGCCACCCAACCAGTACAATTTAGTTGTTCACATTTCTGTATCTTCCTTTACAATTTTAAAAGGTGGGAAGAACATGTTCTTAGTAAATGGACAGATTTTGGTTTGAATCTGAACTTTCTCTATTGATTTTCTGTGTGATATTGGGCAAATTGCCTAACCTCTCTCAGCCTTACTGCCCCATTTGTAAAGTTGGGATATAACTGACAACATCATATGGTTATTTCCCTTATTCCTTCCTTTAATCTTCACCAATATGTGATTTTTCTCTTCTTTGAAAACTGCTTCAAACCTAATGTCCTCTAAGAAATATTTAAAATTAATCCATCTTATTCTAGATTGTAATATAAGATCAAAGGCAATGATTATTTCTTTTATGTATTTTGTGTAATCTGAGATTCTTGTGATGTTCAATGCTGAGAATATAGTGTCTTCATAAGTCTTATTCTCTGACCAATGCTGGCTTTTCCTTTGGGAGCTATCAAGCTGTACCTGGATGATGTGAATATATTCTTAGTTTTTTAAAAAGTAATTTAGTCTTTTTTTTCTGAGCAATTCTTTAATCCATTTTCATGATAGTTGTTTTTTTCCGCTCTTCCATTCTAGAAGATTTAAGTCTATAGAAGAATTTTCAGTATGGGTAATACTTCATGATTTTCTTTACTGTCTAACACTAACATGGGTTGTTAGAGGGAGGAGAAGACTAACCTTGGACCTCTGGGATTTCAGACTCCTGGACCTAGAGATTCAAATCCAAGAGAGGGAAATGACTGATTTCTGCTCAAGAGCTGACTTCTGGTCCCCTGGAACTATCAGTGTAGTGTTGTGATTGTCAGGATGTAGGCTTTGGAATCAGAGCTGGATTCAGATCCTGACTCTGTTGTTTATTATATTGTGACTGTGTGCAAGTTACAAAACATTTCTGTGCCTGTGTTACCTCATCTGTGCAATGAGAATTATAATAGTATCTTCTATTACATAATATAATACATACTATAAACACTCAGTTATTGTTAGCTGATGGGTTTTTTTTTTTTTTTTTTTTTGGCAGGCCTGTATCACTACCCCCAGCATATTCAATTTCTATTGAATGAATGTTGTAAGCCCATTCTTTAATATTTTACCTATGTTTCCATTTCCTAAGATGACTGACATGTTCCTTATTTTCCAAACCTCCACTATGCATGAACAATACAAGCAATTGTCCTTGAAATACTATGAAATATACTTGGTCAAGCAGAACTTACTTACCTAAAATAGAAGAAATTATTTTCCATAGTACTTTTACCTTAGGAAGTTATTAAATTATATCACAACTATAAACTCTATGTAATATTTTGGCATTTTTTTCCATTGTATTTGAAAGGTCATTAGACTAAAAATCCAGTCTCTACTGATTAACTGAGTGACTTTAGTTGAATAATTCAAGTAAGTATTTCAGCTATTTTCTTCATCTGTAAAATGAGGTGTTGGATGACAGGATTATGCTAGATGATATCTGAATTTCCTTCTAACTGTAAAATTCTGTGTTTCTATGAATTAGTATTAATGATATATATTTATTTAGGGGAGGAATCTGAAATTCTCAGAAGACATAGCTTCTTTGATGACAACATATTACTGAATTCCAGTGGTCCTTTAATTGAACATAGTTCTGGAAGCCTCACTGGAGAAAGATCTCTGTTCTATGACAGTGGAGATGGGTTTGGAGATGAAGGAGCTGCAGGAGAAATGATTGGTATGCTATCTGGTCATGTAGAAATAAAACATTTATTTTAATCAAATTACTACAATGTATTAGATTTATTATATCAATGTAAAATTTCAAATATGTTTTTGTGTTACATAGGTCAATACATTTTTCATACAAGTTTTCAAAGTCTATGGCATGTTTAAACATTTAGGCTAGGCCTAAGTAAATAGCCATCTGTTTAAATATATTTTCTATAGAGGTTATGAACTACTGCTTGTTTTTATTTTTACAAATTCCTAATTCTTGGAGGGAAGAGAGTGAGGTTAGTATATTCCTTATAAAATATACTAGACTATGTACTGGAAAACACTGTTTTCTTTAACATACATTGTGGGGCAGCTAAGGTATTTTTCTAGAATTTTATATTATTATTTTATATTTATATTCATCTGCTTAAGTGCCTTGGGTCCCCATGACTTACTGTATCAAATACTTCTACCTATCCTCAAGGCCTCTACCAATTTATTGCCTTCTTTATTTTATCAGTTTTATTTGTTTTACTCTTAATATAGACTATTTCACCTTATAAAATAGTCATAGAAATCGGATAGACAAAAACTGAGAGGTCCAAATGCACATGTTTTATTTATTCTTCTTCTTATTATTATTGAGATGGAGCCTTGCTGTGTCACCCAGGCTGGAGTGCAATGGCACCATCTCGGCTCACTCCAACCTCTGCCATGTGGGTTCAAGTGATTCTCCTGCCTCAGCCTTCTGAATAGCTGGGATTACAGGTGCCAACCACAACGCCTAGCTAACTTTTTTTTCTATTTTTAATAGAGATGGGGTTTCACCATGTTGGTCAGGCTGGTCTCGAACTCCTGACCTCAGGTGATCCACCCGCCTCAGCCTCCCAAAGGGCTGGGATTACAGGAGCGAGCCACTGCGCCCAGCCAAAATGCACATGTTTTAAAGATTGTTTATTGACTGTTCCTATCAAATCTTTTTAAAAATTCTCTAGTTTACATTAAAAATCTAGTTATTCCTTTACAATGAAATGCATAAAGTAACATTAATAAATGTTTAGTGAACAAATGACAGATTCCCATCTGTATGAAAAAAGTATTCATTGTGTTTTTCAAGACAATCTATTGCAAGATGATCAGAATATCCTGTTAGAAGACATACATTTGAACAGAGAAATTTCCCTGCCTCCTGAGCCTCCCAGTAGTTTAGCAGGTAGGTTGAAATTTTCCTTTATGAGAAAGTAATGGGTACTAATGTTTAAATTAAGCCTCAGAACTTCTGAATTTAAGTAACAATATAGTATAGTGAGAGACAAAGAACAATGTCCTTCAGACTCTGTTAATCTGACTGTAGACAATATAAAATAGGAAATTGGATTCTGAGAAAGGTACATTGAAGGGTATTTAGCCAGGATTGTTTAGCATGAGAGTGCTCTGCCAAAATATTGTGCTTTTGAATTATTAAAATAGTACATGGTACCTAGTAAGAAAATTTATTAACTAGTATCGTTTGATAATCTACATACAATTTGAGAGAAATTATAAATTGAGGATATTTTCCCTACTTGAAATTCATATGGCAGTACCTCAGATGATTTGAGGTATTTTAGTCCGATTTTTCTTAAGAATTAAAAGTACAATTAGCCCCATTTTTGATTAGCCACAATTTTTGATGTTATATTTGCTTTCTAAAAACAATAGTAGAAACGGAAAATACAAAGAGTTAAGTAATAAAATTTTACTTCTGGTTTTTTATGGGTCAACTGATAAGTATTTAACAGAATACAATTTTTTTTAGCAGACATATAGTCAAATTTTTATCAGTCATTTACTGTGGTTGCCACCACTGTTTTTACATCTGCGTGACTTTAACCCACCCTTAGATGTCTCATGTGCAAAAGGGGATGATGATACTTGACTCACTTGAATACTATGGGTCCCAGACCATATAATCTGTAAGCTTCTTCAACTCTATTAAATAAATGATTCTAAGAATTCAGATGTTCCAGTTAGTAATATAAATCTTCAGTTAGTTTATCTTTCTCTTTAATTCTCACACAGTCCTCTAGCCTGCATCCTAACTGTTTTTTTTCACAATTTCTTTTATGTGGATGTTGATTAGTTGAACCAGATAACCCAGAGTGTATATGTGTACCTGAAAATGAAAAAATGAATGAAACAACATTATTATCAACTGAAGAGGAAGGATTTACCCTTGATCCAATTGATATTTCAGGTCAGAGGCATTTATCATTTTGTTTTAATTTTTAATACACTGTTAACTTATATACTTTGAGATGTTTGAATAATCACTGAAATATTATAGGACGTAGTCAATCTAGTACTAGCACTTGTAATACAATAGAGGAGAAGACCGTGAAGGAAATTTTAGATGATCCTTTTGAGGTAGGAAGTGGGACTCAACTCTAGAATTGGGGGTTGGACGCCGAACCAGATGATGACTAGTTACAAAGTGGGTGGGGGGAGCTTTCAATCAGACCCACCCACCAGTGTGCCATGTCAATTTACTGCTGCCATGGCAACACCGGGAATTCACCCTTTTCCATGGCGATGACCCAGTGATTACTACTCCTTCCCCGCATAAACCGGCCCCCTTAATCTGCATGCAATTAGAAGTGGGTATAAATATCACTGCAAAACTGCCCTGAGCTGCTAGTCTGGGCCTACTGGGTAGCCCTGCTCTGTAGCAGCAGTCACGGTGCTAGAGCTGTAACACCACCAGAGCTTGAACACTGCCTATTCAGTAAAGCTGTTTTCTTCTACCTCTGACTTGCCCTTGAATTCTTTTCCTGGACAAAGCCAAGAACCCAGATGGGCTAAGCTCCACTCTGGGGCTCATTTGTCCTGTATCTCTGTATCACTTGCATTATATTCAGTCCTGTTCAAACCATGTATCCAGTTTGGGAAACTGAAAAATTTTAAACTAAGTTCAATTTAGGAATGTATTGAGCCATTACTCTGTGGTGGGCATGGGAATAAAGAAGACACACACTTTTTGCTTTTAAGAAGCTTAGAAAACAATCCAGTTAGGAAGATAAATAATCATGCAAGTGAATATAATATAAGGCAGAATAAAAGGGTCAGAAGAGAGGCACAATGCCTTCTAGCATTTAACTTCAAACATCATGTTTTAGGGATAAGTAGTAAGTATGAGTCTAATATAACTACTAGTCTAATATAACTAATATAACTAGGTCATTTAGAAGCATCCTAGTTTGTAGGTAGTATAATTGATGTGAATTTCAGTTTATAAACTCAGGCATGCAAACAGTAAAGCATTTTTTTTTTTTTTTTTAACTGAGTTTACCACTAAGCCTCTATCTCACTAGGCTGGCAGGAAATTCAGTCTGTGTAGCTTCCCTGTCTTCTTTCCATCATGTAGTTCCAGAGTTTGGGGGAGGGGTATAGAAGGTGGAAGGTGGAAGGGAACCTCTGGTTATCAGCCATACCAATTTGTAGTTCCCAGTGCTCCAGCTTACATAGCCTTGGGGATCATCACATAGCCAACCTGTCCGGTATCTTGCCTCGTTCCTGGAATTTTACTGAGGCACATCAACCAGCAAGCAGGTTCTTGTACCTTTTGGCTCCATTGATCTTGGATCTTTATCCATTCTGAGAAATCTAACCCTCTCTCCCCTTTTAGAGCTTTACTAAAGAAAAGCTTAACTTCTGCTTTCTGCCTGCTAAAATTCCCTGATGGAGTGAAATCCTATGGAACCTGCTTGGAATGTCTATGAATTTCAGTGGGAGAGGGAAAAATACACTGGACAAATACAAATTAGCATTGTAGAAAGTTATCCTATTACGTAAGCATTTTAAGGAACCTCCAGATAGGTTGAATTCCCTCTTCCCCACATTTCCTCAGTTGCTCACTTAACAGGTAGATCCCTTTCTAAGCACTTCCAAGCAACACCTTACAAAATGTATCAGCTATTGGTTGCTCAGCATAATTTTCAGAGGGGAGAAGGGATTTTCTTTCCAATGCAACACTGTATGTTGTACAGTGGTAGAAATTTCTTTTCTTTTTTGGAGATAGGGTCTTGCTCTGTTGCCCAGTCTGGAGTGTAGTGGTGTGGTCTCAGTTCACTTCAGCCTCTGTCACTCAGGCTCAAGGGATCCACCCATCTCAGCCTCCTGAGTAGCTGGGTTTACAGGTGCATGCTACCATGTGTGGCTAATTTTTGTATTTTCTGTAGAGACAGGGTTTAGCCATGTTGCCCAGGCTGGTCTTGAACTCCTGGGCCCAAGCAATCTGCCCACCTCAGCCTCTTGAAGTGCCAGGATTACAGGCATGAGCCACCGTGCCTGGCTTAGAAATTTCTTAAGTATTTAGTGTCTACAATATGATTTTAGAAAGCTGTATAACCAATCACATTTGTGCCTATTTCTTATATTTAGACATTGCTGAGAAAAGGAAAGGTAAAAAGAGGAGATTGCTCATAGATCCTGTCAAGGAGCTCAGTAGCAAAGTTATACATAAACAGCTTACTTCCTTTGCGGACACCCTCATGGTTTTGGAACTTGCACCTCCTACCCAAAGATTGATGATGTGGAAGAAGAGGGGAGGAGTGGATACACTTCTGTCAACTGCTGCCCAGGATTTGATTCATGCTGAACTGAAAATGGTAACAGTTTCTATCCTTCTACATGACAGCAATGTCTGGTTATAAATAAATAAATAAATAAATAAATAATAAACACATCTTTACATACATATATAACAGAATTTAAACTTCCAAAGAAATACTTCCTCATTTTGAATTAATTTTCTGGATTGTGTGTATGAATTATAGTTTTTCCTTTTTAGATATGTGCTTGTGTTTTCTTGAATTACTTTGCTGGTGCAAAAACAAAAAAAACCAAAAGGGTGTATTTTTACAGTTGTTTACAAAGTGCTTTCTGTCCTCTGGCTTTAAACTTGGAAGAAAAATGATACAGAAGGATTCAGTAAGGGAAGAAGTGGGAAACCAAAATATCATAGGTGAGACTTCTTAATTCTCTTGATGTTTTGGGGAATGTTGTGGCAACAAAAATTTGATGTTTTAAATTTCAAAATGAAGATGGGATCCAATTCCATGTTCTCAAGTATAAATGCTAACTCTGGAAGAGTAGTTGAACTTAAATGAAATTATTACTTCAGTATTGCATTTTTCTGCATTTTGGATTGATTTTTGTCCCAGAGATTTCATTAAAAAGATGAAGTATATATACTATGTAAACCATTCTTACTATCACTTTTTCTACCTCCTTCACTCTCAAAGGCAGTACTCAAAAATCCTCAAAAAAGAAAATCTTTCTATCTAGCAAGATAATGTTTCAATGTAAAACAACTAACATGAAAAGTCATGTAAGGATAAGAACAGCACTTAATACAGTTAACTTGAGACAGGTATTTCTGTCTACCCAAAAGGCACATGGAATATTAATAATTACTGATTATTATCATGATAATTATAAAGTAATAATAAAACCAATTGATGTGATGAGGGAGCCTCCACTTCCTGATCACCCTTCCTGAAGGCATTAAATCTACTGAACGATATACCACAATGGGCTTGAATTATCCATGTTGTCTTGTGAGTGAATGTGTGAGAGTGTGTGTAGAGGAGATGGTTGGCAGAGAATGGGGAGTGGAGGTGATAAAGAGACAGAGGACAGGAAAGGGAAGATACATATGTGAGACTTGGGAGCAATAAGAAAGTTTGTGTATCCTTTGCTTAAATTCTTAGATCCCAACGTGTCTGTCAGAAGTTTTCTTTTGTTACAACCATATCACAATTCAAGTTTGAAAGATATTTTGGTGAAACTGTCTTTATTTCCTTGATAATTTAGAGACATTCATGATGCAAGAGCCAAATTCCCAGCAAGAGTTAAGTAAACCTCAAACCTGGAAGGATGTGATTGGTGGATCTCAGCATAGCTCTTATGAGGATACCAATAAACATATTAACACTGAGGTAAGTTATCCAGAGAGAATCGTAAAAATATTTTATTTTCTACAGATATAGTAAAGGAATGTTGGGACTCTGGTATATTTTCTTACATTTGTATATTCATATTTCATTTTAAGTTGTTTTGCAATTTGTTTACTAAGTAGCAGGGTAAAACATGATTTTCTTCTACAGAATTTTTCCAGGAGTTTAGGATGTAAATCGCAAGATAAGGTGGTTTCATACTGAACTAGTATTTTGCATGATACGTTAAATCAATGATTGTCTGTATGTAAACCTGGTTATATGCTGAGAATCCTACTAGGCCTCATATTCTTTGTGTCATGGAATGTTTTAGAACTGCAGCCAGTATACCTAAGTTTTGCTTCTCATCGTAAATTCACCCTTACATCTCTAAGAATAATATATTTTAGACCCACCGATTACTTTGGCCTTGAATCTGAAAGACTTATCTAAAGATCTATAACCAAAATGAAATTTTAAAAACTTTTTAAGATATAATTTTTTATTTGAAAAACATTACTATTTGAAAACATAATTGGAAATAATTGCTTTGAAATATTTTCTCAATTGTTATTTTATTGGTTGTACAAATATAAATATTATAGCCATACCAGATAAAAATAAACCAGTGTTTTTCTGGTCTGTTCCATTATCACTGTATTTTGATAACCACTCAGGGAATTCAAAGTCAACCCATGTTGAAACTGAATGCCCTTGGAAGGAAAGACAATTTCACAGTGCATTCAAACAGAAAGTATTTTACTAAATATTTGATAATATACTGGATATTGAGATACTGGGTTGCCAGTACTACTCTCTCCCTCACTTGGACTCAGGCATTTCTTAAAGTGTACCTTCCAAAAATTACGATTAGGTAAACCTGTTTAGTTTATGATATTTTGGAAGGAAAATATAACTGCACTTATCATAGATATAACAAGATAGATTGTCCCATGGGCTTGAAGTAGAGAGAAGAGAGATTGATGTACCAGTTCTTTTGAACCTTTACTCCTTTACCCTATGTTTATGCTTTTTCAATTCTACTCTTATTTTGCTTCCAAAAATGGTTAACAAATGAGAAATATAGTCAAGCATGGGAGCACAAGAACAAGAAGGGACAAGAAAATATTGATTCTGATGAATCATTTTCAAATTTTCATAAAACAGAATTTTTATATATCATAACTGCAAAATTGAGAGTATCAGAAAGATTGAATATTCATAGAAATTGAAAGAGAAAAACAAGGCTTCACAAACATGTTTATTAAAGAATAAAATGTAACTCCTTATGTTTACTAACAGTTTTTAAAACTGAGTTAAAAAGCAACTAAACTATCTTAGAGGAGGCCCTTAGTCAAGACTGGGGAGGACACCTGGGGAATGAAGCTTAGAGACAGGTTGAAGATGAAAAGGGATTGACAGCTTCTATAGCAATGAGAAGGGAAGGAGATGATAGGGACTAGGAAATTTCTGGCTGTCTCTTTTTCTTTCTTCCTTTATGTCTTCACTCCCCTTCCAGCAGACAGGTCCTTCTTCCCTTTTGCCCGTGACAGCTCCAGCAGTGGTGGCAGGAATCCTATCATGGTCCTCAGTAGGGATATTAATATCCCTTTCCTCACTCTCACTCCCTCTCTGCTTGCCTATTGCAGATCTCTTTCCTCTGCCACCTGGTATTGGCATGAGAATAGAGTTAGGGGAGTGGGGCTAGATAAACTGCTTCAAAGCAAAGTGGTCTCAGTAGCACAGCAGTAGAGACTTTTAATGTGAGGCCTGCAGTAGAGTGGGAAAAAGAAAGGAAAAGGATAGGAAACAAGGAGGGAAGGGGCATGCAAGTTCTTCCTTTATGGGAGGCATATGGAAAACAGTAACATTTAAGTCAAAGACTGCCTATCTGGGATATTTCAGAGATAATATTTTGAGAATGTGGGTAGTATTTTAAATTAGTTTGAGAAATGAGCATTCACATGATTAAAGCATTTAACAAAATTAGATTGTTCCTGTATAACCACTGTCAGATTTACCTAACTTTCCCTAATTTGCTTCAGCAGGATATTGTTGAAATGGTGTCTTTAGCTGCTGAGGAATCATCTTTAACGAATGACTTATTTGCACAAGAAATTGAATGTAGTCCAGTTGAATTGGTAAATATATGTATAGTCTTGGGGATGTTCTTAAAAACTTCATTCCTAAATATTTTTAACACCTTATTTATCTGAAACTTGACTTTTAAAGCTGTCGTGTTACTTTCTGAATTTATAATTTAAATTTGTGATTACAACAGAGATGTTTGTGAATAGTTTGATAAAATATTCTGAATTGCTCTGATTTTTTGTCTTTCTTTAATTTCTTTTGAAACTTCAAATACTTTTAAGGGAAAATGTGAGATTTTTGTGCTTATCAAAAGTAGTGACAGGATTTAAAATGTTGAGAATCACTGTTTTAAATTATTGGTATAACATTTCTAGAGAAACAGAACTATATTAAGAGTATGGCCTAAGGCATTTGAAATTTTATCTTATTTACAACAAAAATTGTAGGAAATTTTTCCTTTAACATTATGTGGCATGAGGCTTTTATCTATACAAGGGTTCTGGAAATTTGAAACAAAATCATCTGGTAGTCAGAGGGCTACATGTCAATAGCAAAGACGGAAGTCAAGTCTGATTTACCTGACTCCCTGCTTGTTAACTGTCTTATTTCTCTGGTCTTGTCCCAGCGTACTGAAAACATTTTTAAGATTGTAAAGAATTTTAGTAAAAGTTTTTTAGTAAATAATATAAAAACACCCAGTAAGCCTGATATTAATTTGTTTCTATAAAATTATCTATATAATGAGTTCCAAGACTATTTGATTGTTTTTCATAAAAGGAAAAGAGACCGAATTCTCTGGATAATCTAGGGCAGAATAAATTACCTGAACTTTTTACCTGAAGTATCCAAACAGCTGAGCCAGAAGTGGTTGATTCATTCTCGCTATTCGCTTTGCTTTTATAGATGCAGGTTATTTTCATACATGGTCAAGCAAACCACAACACAGCACAAGTTCAGCTGTTTTAATAATCCACTGGGCTTTCTACACAATAGATTCAGCTGTAGGGTGTCCAGATAGATCAAGTAGACAGGCTTTAGCAGAATGCACAGACTATTTCTTCTGAGCCTTTCTCTGGTTAGTTTAGTTGTGCATTATAGGTGAAGCGAGAGTCTCATGGACCTTTAACAAAGAGGTTTTTACATTTCAAAAACTGCATTTGTTTATTTAACAATAAAATAAACATTAATAAGTGGGTGTCCTCATTTATCCAAGGACAGACCAGAAAAGAATAATCATAAATTGTAGCTGAAGGGATTTGGAAAACTCTCCAGAATAAAGTGACCATATTTTCAAATTAGTCTCTTTGGGATATAAGAAAGCATATAGCACAGGCAGGCCCAGGAAGCTGGTATAGTTGGTGGAAATGGGGACTCAGTAGTTCCCAGGCTGAGTCAAAGAGTCCCTTTAGCCTCACATGATTTAAAATGTCATGCAGAATATTCTGGTGCTTTCTGTAATTGTCTTGGAGTCTATGAAATTGAAAGCACTTTTAGCAAGTGTCTGGGCTCCTATACATGAAGGCTAGACAAACGGTGGACATGTGATGAGAGTGACACAGATGCTTTTGGGATGCATGGTCAGAATTAGCTTAGGAAAAATTATAAAGTAGGCCAGATTTGTGCCACTTCCCTTCCCCCAACCCCCTGTAAGCCTACTCTTTTATCAGATTCATGAACACCTTTCATATGCCCAGTTTCTGCTCTAATATCATAAGGTGTTAGTTTGTAAGGGATTAGAATAAATTCTTGCAAAGAATTTCAACTTTACCATTTTTAAATATTGAGGTATTTCTGAAAGTGGTTAAGACTTAAATACCAAAAAAAAAAAAAAAAAAGAATTTATTTAGACAACAATGACAGACAATCAGGCAGTGGGTTAATCTTTTTTGGACAAGGCATCTCGAAATCTGAAAGATTTCTAACCCAATTGTACACAAACTACTAGACAGCAGTTATGTTTAGAGCTTCCCTTACCAGGTAAGTTCAGATAAAGGTCTTTACAATGCAGAAATAGCTGTATGTTTACTCCTGTCAACTGAGTTCAGATTGACCAGAACTAGGATAGCCCTAGGCAAAAGTTGTTGTCTTTGCTAATTTTACTTTTCAAAGTAACTGAAAGGCCCTGGGCACATTACCAAATAAAGATGGCAGAATCTCCTATTTTGGAGCCTCTTATCAGAAGACACCCTGGAGAGTATAGGTATAATTGTGCAAAGGTGGTTTATATTTGTATGTTAGCCTTATTCTCTTTATAAATAATAAAGACTATAAGCTCTTTATTTGGCAGGACCCATTGTAATAATTGTGTTTCTTGTAGAAGCTAACACTATGATTGGTGAATAGTAAGCGTTTAGTAAAATTTGCTTAAATTAAATATTTTATTTATCAGTCATTCAAACAGGAGTCATTGAGGAATGAAGAAAATATTGAGACAGAAAGATGGAATCGAAGAATACTTCAGTTGTTAAATCGTTTACGGGTAAGATGCTAGGGTTTGTCAACCCTATTTTTATTTTAAAAAATAAGTAAATACTGACTTCAAGCTTCTAGATATTAATGAAAACGCAGTAATTTTCCTTATTTTTTTGAGGCCACATCCCACTGGAGTGCGATGATTTTCAGTAGTATACCCAGGGCTAAATATAGAAGTTTGGTTTTGGTGCCTGCATATTCTAATCAACTTCTTACCCACACTCATACCCTTAGATATCTATCTATTCTGTGTCCCATTCTCATTTTTAGCAGGATACCAACTAATTCTCAACATGAAACTTAGTTGATAGCAGTTCAAGAGTGACAGCTCAGATAATTTTTGAATTTAATTTATATTTTTATCAAAATAATACATGCATATTATTTTAAAAGTTCCATAGCACCATGCAATAAGGCTGAAAAGACAGAAAGGCCTTTGTCCTACCCCTCCTAAGTCCTGCTCACCAGAAGCAACTACATTAAGCTGCTTCTTTTAGTATTTATATCTATATTCTTAATAAACATGCTTTTAGTGCTCTTTCTTGGTATTTCAGCTTTAAACTTTACTGAATTCTTCTGACAGAAAACAAAAGTTTAACTTAGTTACCTTCCCCTCCCTACTATACTTTTAGCATAGTGTTATGTGTTTACAGTGTTATATTTGTAATAGTTATGATGCAGGTTTGATTGTGACAGGAAGCCAAAATATTAATGACTTAAAAAAGATAGAAGTTTGTTTATCTCTCAGGTAAAGGTTCAATCTGGTATGGCAGCTATGCTCACAAAGTTGTCAGGGACCCAGGTTTCCCTTGTCTTCTCAAGATCCAAAATGGCTAACTACCCACCAGGTCTGTACTCCAATCAGCAGCAAAGTTTCCTTTAACTGTGCAACCCAGAAATTTTATCACTTTTTTTTTTTTTAATTTTTTTTTTTTGAGACGGAGTCTCGCTCTGTCGCCCAGGCTGAAGTGCAGTGGTGCGATCTCTACTCACTGCAAGCTCCGCCTCCCGGGTTCACGCCATTCTCCTGCCTCAGCCTCCCGAGTTGCTGGGACTACAGGCGCCCACCAGCGCGCCCAGCTAATTTTTTGTATTTTTAGTAGAAATGGGGTTTCACCATGGTCTCGATCTCCTGACCTCGTGATCCCCCTGCCTCGGGCTCCCAAAGTGCTGGGATTACAGGCGTAAGCCACCGCGCCCGGCCAGAAATTTTATAACTTTTAACGCTTCATTGACCAGCACTTAATCACATTACCGCATCTAGCTGGGAAATGTAGTCTTTATTTGGTAAGCTTAGTCCCAGCTAATAATTCCGTTACTATAGAAGAAGAGAATGGAAATTAAAGGACAACTAGCAGCTGCTGCCATAAATACTATATAAAAATTAGTTTACATTGAAGCTTCATAGCGTGATTACATTTCTTGTCAAGTTTATGATTGTTTTGTCATTAGGCTTTTTTCAAGTTAATCATTACCTCATTTTTTTTCATTTGCTCAGTCTATAAACCCATTTTAATTACTTTTCCAAGCTCAGACAATATGACCAAACTCTGACAAAAATACCATTTTTATGGTTTTATAATATTTTATAATATCTCTTATCAAGTGATCCATCAGTTCCTTTTTTTTTCCTTAAAGGTATCTCTCTGGGGGTTCACCATCCTCTTGTTCTGATTGATACAAACTAATTGCTCTTTAGGTCTGCTCCATAGTTTTTGTCTTGGGATATTGCTTTGTCATAAACATGAGAATTTGTCTCTTTCCTGTATGTATTATTTCCTCTGTGGTTTTGGGTGCTTTGATCTTCCTTTATCTTAACTTTTTTGGTGATTAACATCCTTTCATGATTTCCTGAGATAAATAGTTCATAAGAGATAGAGACCCTCCATACCAGCCTGAGCATTTCTTTTACCTTTAACGTGACTGTCTCTAGACATAAGTTGAAAATATATTTCTCTCAGATGTTGAAGGCTTTGTAACATTGCCAAGATTCTTGTGATGTTATTGAGAGGTCAGATGTTGCCTTAGTTGGTGATCCTTTGTAAGAAATCTTTATTTTCTTTCTGGAAGCTTTTGATCTTTTATTATTAATATTATTATCCCTGGCACTCTGGAATTTCATGATGTGCTTTGGGTTTTTTTTTCTTTCACTTGTTGTGCTTACCATGTAGTGTGTTCTTTTATATGGAAATTTCATGTTCCTGAGTTTTAGAAAATTTTAAAAAATTTCTTGAACTTTCTTCTTATTACTGTTATTTTTTAAAGTTTTTCATAGAGTCAAGGACCCACTGTGTTGCTCAGGCTGGTTTCAAACTCCTGGCCTCAATTTCCTTGTTATTTATCTTCCTGAAAGGCCAATGGGTCAGATGTTGGATGTCCTGAACTGCTCCTTTAATTTTAAAAACATCTTTTATCCTCTATATTAATTTCCTTTTATTTGTGTTTTTCTACTCTCTAGATTTCTTCAACTTTGTCTTCTAGACTTCACTGAATTTTTATATCTGCTTTCACCTTTTTGTTTTCCAGGAGTTTTTTTCTTGTTTACTAACCTTTTGTTTTATAGCATCACAATATTTTTATTTAATTATTTAATTAGGTTTTTAAGCAGCTTTGTTGAGATATTATTAACATGCAGTAAACTATTTCTATTTAAAGTATGCATTAGATAAGTCTTGACATATGCATACAACTGTAAAACCTTCACCACAATCAAGGAGTAAACATATCTCAAACCAGAAAAAGTTTCCTTGTGCCCCTTGTGAATCCCTCATTTGCATACCTCCAACTGGCACCTCCATTCCCAAGCAACCACTGATCTGCTTCCTCTCACTATTATCCTAGCCATTTTTCATGGATACAATGAAAAACTTCTTAACTTCAGAGATTGCACTTCTGCTCCCTGCATTATCTTTCCTTAGTGATGTTCTTGAATGCATTCCTTTTTGCTGTTTAATATTAGAGATTTTACTCAAATTTCTTGTAGATCCTAGGATTATCTGTTTTTATTTAAGATAGAGACACCAAAAAACTGATTGGAAGTTATATACGCATGAAGGCTTGTAGACTTATGGTCTTTATACTGAGGTCATTGGATGGCACCCCTCACCTTCCCCAGATTGTATTATGTAACTGGGTTTTGTTCTCCCTTAGAATAGTTGGCTTTTCCAGAGTAATCTTTAAGTCTACTGCCTAGGACATGTAAGCACGATGCCAGTAGCTCAGGAACCAAAAGGAGATAAAGGAGAGGCTGGTTATCTCACTGTTCAGAGTGTAGAATTTCCCTTAATCCCACTGTTTGTGGTATGACACTTCACCATCCACAGCGCTAGTGCCTTAAGTCCAAAGCCTCAATGCTTGGTATCTCCAGAAGGGCAACGTCACACCTTCTACTATGTGAGTAGTGGTCTCTGATTCTGTGAGGTGGTGGAGTGGACAGAAGGGCTAACTGTTCCTAAGTAGATTCTCAAGGAATTCTCCTATTTTCAGCTTAATCCCTCTCCCCAGTTTATGATACACTGATGTCTCCAATTCCTGAGCTTTTCCAAGGTACTGTATCTCACTCAGATCGGCTTGCTTTTTGCTGGCTTCCCTGCTGCCAGCATTTAGGATTCAGTTGTCTCTACTAAGTCAGTTATGTCTTCCACTTTCTTTGTCTTTGTCTCCTTCCTTTGTCACTTTTTCTTTCTTTACCTTCATTTCGAAAGGTTTCTGAAGGGAACACAAATAAACACTTATGTTTAATCTTGCATATTTGTCCCTTTAGGGTTTTTCAAGAGAATTCTTGAAATTGAAAAAGCTGTCCTTATTCTCTCCTGGGAGGAAAAAGCCATCCAATTCTCATCTTTTCTCTCAAGGCAGGGAATAAATGTAGGCTGGATATGCCATCTTTGAAAGGTTACTCACCCTGGGTTACACCTTTGGTTAGGATAAAGTATAATAATGTATTTAATTTATTAATTTGTTGAATGTTATAGACAAGCAAAACCTTGTATATGGTATTTCTAAATATGCTTCATAACTATCCAAGGAGTATGATGCTCCTAGGGACATTGGCCAGTATTCACTACAGTGTTTCTTTCTTTTTTTTTTTTTTTTTCTTTTTTTGAGATGGGGTCTCACATCACCCATGCTAGAGTGCAGTGGTGTGATCTTGGCTCACTGCAACCTCTTCCTCCCGGTTTCAAGCGATTCTCCTGCCTCAGCCTCCCAAATAGCTGGGATTACAGGCACATGCCACCATGCCCAGCTCATTTTTGTATTTTTAGTACAGACAAGGTTCCACCGTGTTTGCCAGACTGGTCTGGAATTCCTGACTTCAAGTGCTCCGCCCTCCTTGGCCTCCCAAAGGATTACAGGCGTGAGCCACCACACCTGGCCACACTGCAGTATTTCTAACTAAAAAATTATACTTCTCTAGGAATCTGATTCCAAATCTTAGTCTTCATGAAAAGAATTATCTTCATCCGTAATTAAAATACTTTATTGTACCTCAGTTATTTTCAGTAGGTACTCAGATGTCATATAGTGAATCCGACATCTTTTTAATCTGTGCAAAGAAATTGCGAGATGTTTACATAGTCATAATCCCCTGACACTGAAACTAGAGTTGTTTATAGTCAACACCAGCACTAGTACCTTTAAGTAGAAGAAGACTGATAGGCTGATCATTTTCACTGTATTTGAAGCCTCCCAAAGTCCTGTGGAATTTTTTTTTTTTTTTTGTCTCTGCAAATATAGACTAATTGCCCTTTCCACAGGAGCCATTTATGTTAACATCCATTTTAAAAAGGTCTAACATTTGTATAATACATTACAAATTTGTATAACACTTTGGAATTCTTTTGCATGTGTGTTCTTCATGAACCAAGCTTGTGTACAGTGACTTGTTTTGTTTTTATGTTTACTAAGGAGTCATTTCCCTTTTTCCACTTAAGGATTTTATAGTCATTTATCCAAAATGTTAATATTTTGTTGTTCATTATGCATTTATAGCTGGCTTTACTTCTAATGATCTTGTTTCCCTTTTCTTTTTTCTTTTCTAACTATTTTCCCAGGAATCTAACAAGATGGGAATGCAGTCCTTTAGTCTGATGAAGCTCTGTAGAAATAGCAACCGAAAACAAGCAGCTGCCAAATTTTATAGCTTTCTTGTCCTAAGAAAACAGCGGGCTATCGAGCTGAGCCAGAGTGCTCCCTATGCAGATATTATAGCTACAATGGGACCAATGTTTTATAACATGTGAAGGAAACCCAGACATGTAGATTTATGTCATCACTGGAATTTCTGTGTAGATTGTTCCGTTTAATGCAGAAGCCATCTGGAAGCAGCTGAAGGTCTGATCCATTTCATAGATAGGCTGACCTATTTCCTCTCTGTAGTTCAGAATAATCATAGCTAGAATTGGAAACCTACATGCTTACAAAGAAAATACTTTAAATTCTGTTTTGTTTTGTTTTTTGTTTTTTAAAGGACAAAGGCCTCACTATGTTGCCCAGGCTGGACTTGAACTCTGGGCTCAAGTGATTCTCCTGCCTCAGCCTCCTGAATAGCTGGGACTACAGGCACATGCCACCATACCTGGCTCAGAAATACTTAATTATAGCTAAGTAATTTTTTTTTTTTTTTTTTTTTTTGAGACAGAGTCTCGCTCTGTCACCCAGGCTAGAGTGCAGTGGCCAAATATCAGCTCACTGCAAGCTCCGCCTCCCGGGTTTATGCCATTCTCCTGCCTCAGCCTCTCGAGTAGCTGGGACTACAGGTGCCCGCCACCTCGCCCAGCTAGTTTTTTGTATTCTTTTAGTAGAGACGGGGTTTCACCGTGTTAGCCAGGATGGTCTCGATTTCCTGACCTCGTGATCCGCCCGTCTCGGCCTCCCAAAGTGCTGGGATTACAGGCTTGAGCCACTGCGCAGCCAGTTAAGTAATTTTTTTAACTTAGCTGATTTGAATATATAGCATTTATCATTTCCCTGACTTGAATGTTGCATTTAGCATACATTTAGGATGCATTTTTTAAATGCTATATGTTTTTGACAAACATTCAAAGATGTTTCTTAAAAGGCTATTTTACATTGGAGTATTTACTTGAATTTTGTGGGGTTAATGATGAAAACTTCCTTATTTCTACACAGACAGTTTATTTGATTGCAATGCATATCATCCTTGATTTGACCTAATGCTATGGTTTTTAATCCAACATTTTAAAATTGAAGAGTTACAAAGCTCATCTTTGCTTTAAATTACCTGTGTGGGTTTTAGTCTATTTATAGGTCATTTAACCTTTTTATTTACTATTTAATGAGTATTATAATCACCATTAATATGTCAGCAAAACTAAATCTGCTTTTTATGTTTAAAAAAATTAGCAGACACTTGTTCCGCATGTTGTTTGCAGCTACAGTCTAAGTAAAGATCACCAAAATAAATGTTCTTTAGCTTGGCGTTTACCGAACATTTTTGACGTTTAAAACTGTTGTTTTCCTTTTTTCTTAATTGAAATTTGAGTTAGGACATTTTCATATTATGCTCTGTGAGCGCCATCATACACTGTAAAGTGAAGCCTATGGTACTCATTAAAATGTTGTTGTATATGGAAATATGCTGCAAACAACAAATTCTAAATAGCCTCTCTAAATGTATTAACTATAAATTTTAAATGGCAAAATTGCCTTTTTAAAATTTCTTTTATTTTTTAAATTAACATACAGAAAAATTGACTTCTTAATTTTGGTTCACAGTTCTGTGAATTTTAACATATGTATAGAGTCCTGTAACCATCTCCACAATTAGGATTCCAGCAGTAACATCACCCTAAAAAATTCTCTGTGTTATCCCTTTGTAGTAACACCCTTCCCCCATATAACATCTGGCAACCACTCTTCTCCATGACTACACTTTTGTCTTTTTGAAAATGTCATGAAAATGGAATTATATAGCATGTAACCTTTCGATACTGGCTTCTTTCACTCATAAATGTCTTTGAGATTCATCAAGTGGTTGCATGTGTCAGTGGTTTATTCCTACTTATTGCTGAGTAATATTCTGTTGCCTAGATATACCACAGTTTATTTATCCATTTACCCATTGAAAGATATTTAAGTTGTTTCCAGTTTTGACAATTATTAATAGAGCTTCATACATTTGTGTACATTTTTGTGTAGATACAAGTTCTTATTTGTTTAGGGTAAATATCTAGAAATGGGATTGCTGGGTCATATAGCAAGTGTATGTTTAACTTTAGAAGAAATTACGAAATTATTTTCCAGAGTGGATGTACCATTTTGCATTCCCAGTAACCATGTAAGAGAGTTCCAGTTGATTTTTTTTGTTTACTCTTTATTTTGAGATAATTGTAGATTCACATGCAGTTGTGAGAAATAATACAGAGATCCCATGTATCAGTTTACCTCAATGGTAACATCTTGCATAACTTTAGTATAATACACAACTAGGAAGTTGGCATTGACAGTATCCACCCAGCTTATTCAGACATCACCAGTTTTATATGCACTCATTATGTGTATGTATTAATTCTATGCAATTTTATCACATGTGTAGGTTTGTGTGGCCACCACCATAGTCAAGAAACAGAACAGTTCCATCACAAGGATCACTTGTGCTACCCTTTGTTAGCCACAGCCATCTCCCTCCTTACTGTCCTCCCTGGCTCCTAAAACCCACTAACCTGTTCTCCATCTCTATAATTTTGTCATTAGCACAATTAACTTTTATGGATTAGCCTTGTATCCTATGAACTTGCTAAACTCACAAATTAGTTCCAGGTGTTTTTGTTTTACATAAATGGAATTAAAAAATGTTTTGCCTTTTTTTTTTTTTTTTTTTTTTTGAGACAGAGTCTCGCCCTGTCACCCAGGCTGGAGTGCAGTGGCACAATCTTGGCTCCCTGCAGCATCGACCTCCTGGGTTCAAGCGATTCTCCTGCCTCAGCCTCCTGAGTAACTGTGATTACAGGGCCGTGCCACCATGCCCAGCTAATTTTTTTGTATTTTTAGTACAGATGGGGTTTCACCATGTCAGCCAGGCTAGACTCAAACTCCTGACCTCAAATGATCCACCCGCCTTGGCCTCCCAAAGTGCTGGGATTACAGGTGTGAGCCACCACTCCTGGCAATGTTTTGCCTTTTGTATCTGGTTCCTTTCACCTAGTATAAAAGTTTCAGGTTTTATCCATGCTGTAGAATGTATCTGTAAGTCACTCCTTGTTATGGCCAAATAATATTCCATTGTATGAATATACAACATTTTGTTTATCCACTCATCAGCTGATGGACATGTGGATTGTTTCCACTTTTGAACTACTATGAATAATGCTGCTATCAACATTAGTACCTGCGTTTTTGTGTATATAAGTTTTTATTTTTCTTGGTTATATACCTAGGCGTGGAATTACCAGGTCACATGATAACTTTATGTTTAACTTTTTGAGGAGCTGTCAAACTGTTTTCCAAAGTAGCTGCGCTATAGTACATTTCTACCAGCAATACATCAGAGTTCCAATTTCTTAATATCCTTGACAATACTTGTTATTGTCCCTTTTTAAAATTATAGCAATCCTAGTGAGCATCTCATGGTTTTGATTTGCATTTTCCTAATGACTAATTATGTTGACTATCCTTTCATGTGGATTTGCTAATAGTTTATTGAGGATTTTTGCATCTGGTATTGGTCTGTATTTTTCTTTTACTGTCTTTTTCTGGTTTTGGTATCAGGGTTATACTGGCCTCATAAAATAACTTAGAAAGTGTTTCCTCCTATTCTATTTTTCTACAATAGATTGTGTGTATTTGTGTTATTTCTTCTTGAAATAGTTGATAGAATTCACCCATAAACAATCTGGATCTGGATATTTGTATTTTGTAAAGTTTTTTTAACTATGAATTCAATTTTTTAAATAGAGGTAGATTATTCAGTTATTTATTTCATTTTGAATGAGTTTGGGTAGTTTCTTATTTTAAGTAATTGGTCTATTTCATCTACATTGCTGAGTTTATGTGTGTAGAGTTGTTCAGAGTATTCCCTTATTATCCTTTTAGTGTCTGTGGGGTCCACAGTAATAACCTCTCTTTCATTTCAGACATTGTTAATATGTTTTCTCTTTTCAGTTGTGCTAGAGGCTTATTAATTTTATTGATCTTTTAAAAAGATTTTCTCTTTTGTTTTTCTGCTTTCTGTTTCATTTCATTTATTCCTGCTTTTACATTTATTATTATTTTCCTTTGACTTGCTTTGGGCTTATTTTGCTCTTTCTAGTTTTATTAAGGTGGAGGCTTAGATAACTGATTTGAGATCTTCCCTCTTTTCTAATGTAAACACATAAAGCTCTATGTTTCCCTCTAGGCACTGCTTTAGCTGCATCACACAGATACTTATTGTTATATCTTCACTTTTGTTCTGTTAAAAACATTTTCTAATTTCCCTTGAGACTTGAAGGTCTTTTACCTGCAGATTATTTAGAAGTATAGTATGTTCAATTTCTAAGGAATATTTCCAGTAATTGATTTTGAGTTTAATTCCATTATGGTGAGAGAACATGCTTTAAATGATTTCAATTCTTTTAAATTTATTAAGATTTATTTTATGACCCTATACTAAGTTGAAAATTTGTGTATACGTTTTGACTCCCCAACAACTTAACTACTAATAGCCTACTGTTGACCAGAAGTCTTACCTATAACATAAACTGTCAATTAGCACATATGTTGTATATGTATTATATACTATATTCTTACAATAAAGCAAGCTAGAGAAAAGAAAAAGTTATTAAGAAAATCACAAGGAAGATAAATATATTTTCTATTCATTAAGTAGAAGTGGATCAACATAAAGGTCTTCATGTTCATGGTCTTCACATTGAGTAGGCTGAGGAGGAGGAGGAAGAGGAGGGGTTAGTGTTGCTGTCTCAGAGATGGCAGAGTCAGAAGAAAATCCACATAGAAGTGGACACACACAGTTCAAAGCTGTGTTGTTCAAGGATCAACTCTGTTCTGCATTTGTTAGGTGGAGTGTTCTATAAATGTCAGTTGGACCTAGTTGGTTCATAGTGTTGTTTAGATCTTCTACATCCTTGTTTATTTTGTCTACTAGTTCTATCAGTTACTGAGAAGAAATGTGTCTTCAGCTATAATTGTGGATGTTTATTTCCCCTTTCCATTCTGTCAGTTTTTGCTTTATATATTTTGAAGCTCTTTTATTAGGTGCGTATACATTTATAATTATTACATCTTCTTCGTGAAATGACCCTTTTATTATTTTATAATAATTATCTT